TTAATTTCTTCAAGTTTCCCATATCTGAGTAGTTGAAATTTCTCCTTGTTGAACTTCATATTGTTTTGAGTGGCCCATTTGAAGATTTGGTTGATGTCCGCTTGGAGTCTCGTGGTGTCTTCGATAAAGGTCACTGCCATGGTGATCCGGGTGTCATCCGCAAAGGAAGACACAGAGCTATGGTTTACATCTCTGTCTATGTCAGAAGTGAGGATGAGGAATAGAATGGGAGCGAGTACTGTGCCTTGTGGAACAGAGCTTTTTACCATGGCTGCCTGGGACTTTACTCTGTTTACTATTACTCTTTGTGTTCTATTTGTCAGGAAGTTGTAGATCCATCTACCAACTTTACCCGTTATTCCTTTATCATCCATTTTGTGTGCTATTACACCATGGTCACACTTGTCAAAAGCTTTTGCAAAGTCTGTGTATACTACATCTGTGTTTTGTTTATCCTCTACAGCATCCAGGACCTTGTCATAGTGGTCTATAGTGGCAATTTTTTTTTTCAGGAGGTATTCCTTTACACTCGGGCCAAAGACTTCACTGAACCATTCAAGGGAAATTTCTTTTGTGACCCATGCCTTACTGTCAGCCTTCCACATCACACACAATTTACTCTTGGCAACACTGTTTTTCTTGAACACTCTGGGATTCTCAGAGTGATACACCAGTAAAGGCTTCATAGGCTTGTGTCCTGGTAGTACCATTTCCTCCTGCATGATGTAGATCCTCTTTGGCATTTTCTTCGAAAAGAGACATGTTTTGTCACAACTGAATACTTGTTGGGGGACGAATCCTTCAGTCTCTACATAGTCCTTGAATTCCTGCACGAATTTTTCAGCTGCATATTTGTCAGAACTGGCAGCCTTGCCATCCCTTACCACACTGTACATGCCACTATGCTTCTTAAATCTCTTAAACCAGCTTTGCTGGCCTTAAATTCACTAACATCAGCACTCGTTCCAGGCATTTTCTTTACGAGATCGGCATGCAACTGTCTTGCTTTTTCACAAATTATTGACTGCATAACACTATCTCCTGTTAATTTTTTTGGTTGATCCACACTAACAACAAATTCTCAACATCTTCGAGTACAGTGGACCCCCGCTTAACGATCACCTCCCAATGCGACCAATTATGTAAGTGTATTTATGTAAGTGCGTTTGTACGTGTATGTTTGGGGGTCTGAAATGGACTAATCTACTTTTCCTTATGGGAACAAATTCGGTCAGTACTGGCACCTGAACATACTTCTGGAATGAAAAAATATCGTTAACCGGGGGTCCACTGTATTTGCCATCTCTTTTTGGTGAGCATATCTACCCCTTTTGCAACAACAGCTTCCTTGATTTCCTTTTTCTTCAACACGATGGAAGTGATTGCTGAATGGGGGTTCCCATACATCCTGCTGAGTTTGACCACATGCACTCCACTTTCATATTTTGTGATGATTTATTTCTTTAATTCTATCGTGTTTCTCATCTTCTTTACCAAATGGCTGGCACTAGCTTTCTTTGGGCCTATGGTGGCTTATTTAGCAGTTGCAAGCATAATAAAGAATGGATTATTATGCAATGTATCGTATGAACGTGTGTAGTGACAGTCACTCGTCCACAAACAATGCCACACTGACTCCTGCATGCGGTGTGGGAGCCTTTGTTTACGCCCAGCTGCTCCCAGCAGCACAGACGCATTCCACACGAGGCAAATCACGAACTGTGAAGCTTTATTTTGACAAAAAAAGTTGCCGAAAGTCGAAATTCATGAAGCGCAAGGCTCACGAAACTCGGGGTTCCACTGTATTATTTTACTATCACTCTTAATTTATTTATTTAGTAATTTAAGCATACATACAGAGGTACAAAAAATACAGGTAAGAGCAGCATGCCAAAGCCACTTATATGCATAGCATTACGGGCTGGCTTAAAATTAACTTAAGATTAACTAAGCAATGATGAAATCAGTGATAAAACATTATTGTAAACAGATAACTATAAAGCACAAATGAGTATTACAAAGACAGGTCATATGGTTGCTTGCATTGCTGTACATTCAGTCGAATGGAGTATTCTGTTAGGTTGTGTATTTAAAAAAATAATAAAGTTAGATTGGGTCCTAGGTTTAACATTTGTGTGATATAATTGTGAGTAACATATAGGATATACAATTTATAAGGTTCAGTTATCAGTATTTATTTGGTTTTGAGTGAGTAAGTGATCTTTGAGAAGAGACTTGAATTTATAAACAGGTAGTGTTTCTTTTATATTTACAGGTAATGAATTCCAGATTTTAGGGCCTTTTATGTGCATTGAGTTTTTGCATAGCGTGAGATGGACACGAGGAACATCAAAGAGTGATCTGTGCCTTGTGTTATGGTCATGTGTTCTGTTGAGGTTGGCAAGGAGATGTTTGAGGGAGGGTTAATATCAGAGTTAAGTGTTCTATATATGTAATAGGTGCAATAATAAGTATGGATGTTTTGTATGGTGAGTAGGTTGATGTTTTTGAATATTGGTGGAGTGTGTTGCCTGTAGTGAGAATTTGTTATCATTCTAACTGCAGCCTTTTGTTGGGTAATTAGTGGTCTGAGATGGTTAATTGTTGTTGAGCCCCATGCACAAATTCCATAGGTGAGATAGGGGTAAATAAGAGAGTGATAAAGGGCCAGGAGGGCTGACTGTGGAACATAGTACCGTATCTTCGATAGTATGCCTACAGTCTTGGAAATTTTCTTAGAAATTTGTTGTATATGTGTATGAAATTTGAGTCTATTATCGAGGTGGATTCCTAGGAATTTTCCCTCTGTTAGCTTTGTGATAGGTGATCCGTTTATTGTTATGTTAAGAGGTACATCTGTAGCTCTGTTACCAAACTGAATGAAGTAGGTTTTGTCAATGTTTAGTGTAAGTTTGTTAGTCCTCATTCAGGTAGATATTTTCTGTAATCCAGTGTTTACAGTATTGGCTAGCGTGACTGGGCTCGGGTGAGAGAAAGACGTATGTAGTGTCATCTGCAAAAGTGTGGGTTTTGAGTAATTGCGAAGCATTTGGTAGGTCATTTATGTATAGGAGAAAGAGAAGAGGGCCAAGGACACTTCCCTGTGGGACACCAACTGTAATTGGTTGTGCGGAAGAGCTTGCCCCATTTGCGTACACATATTGGCTTCTGTTGCTGAGGTAAGACTTGAGGTAGTTGAGGGAGTGCCCTCTAATACCATAGTGTGACAATTTTAACGTGGAGCAAGTCATGGTCAACTGTATCAAAAGCTTTACGTAAGTCAATGAAGATCCCCAGTGGGACTTCTTTTTTCTCTATTGCAGTGTATATATGTTCTAGCATGTGTATAATAGCATCATTAGTATTTTTTATTAGGCCTGAATCCAAATTGGCAGGGGTTGAGAATGTTTTGGGAGATGAGGTAGGAGTAGATTCGTTTATGAATTAATTTTTCGAAGATTTTTGAGAGAGGGTGTAAATTGGATATTGGCCTATAGTTATTCAACTCTGTTTGGTCTCCTCCTTTATGGATCGGGGTGACCCTTGCTATTTTGAGAACTGTAGGGAAGGTGGAGGATTCAATGGATTTGTTTAAAGAGTGTTGCAATGATTGGTGATAGTACTTGTGACGTTTTTTGTATATAAAGGGTGGTAAGGTATTTAAATCTCCTGCCTGGGTTTTTCAGTGCGTTGATAATAAGGGAGACTTCGTATGGGTTAGTCGGAGCTAGGAACAGTGTGTTCGGGTAGTTGCCAGTGAGGTAGTCATTTGGTGGGGTATCTGAGCTTGGGATTTTATTGGCAAGGTTTTGACCTATAGTGGAGAAGAAATCATTGAGTCTGTTTGCTGTTTCTGTTGGTGGGAGTTGGGTTCATCTGATTTTGCTAATTTTATTTCGCTATGTCGTGATATCTTTTTTGTTCCCAGAATTTCTGATAGGGTCTCCAGGTCTTTTTTATTCACCTCGTAAGTTGGATAATCTGTTCTCATAATACAATTTTTTTGCCCTTCTTATCAGGCTGGTTAGGATTGACGAGTAACGTTTTGTTTGGTCTCTGGTTATGTGACCCATTCTGTACTGTTTTTCATATCGGTGTTTTGTATTTATGGATTTGAGAATGCTGGGTGTTAGCCAGGGACTGTTCAGTCTCTTAGCTGTCATCTGTTTAGTTTTTTTAGGGCAGTGCTTGTTATAAAGGTATTGGGTCTTTTTTAGAAAATTATTAAAACATTCGTCAATATCTGTATAGATTTCTAGCTCAGTGTGCCAGTCAATGTTTGTTACTGCTGTTGTGAAGTTATTAATGACTCTAAAAGATACTCAGTCAGTGCCAGTGTTCCACAAGGTGTATTTGGTCCACTTTTATGAAATGTCTACTTCACATCATCCCAGAATATCATACCTATGCAGATGACTGCTCTAATATTTTCTTATGCAAGAAAGGCAATGCCACCTTTTCTCTGTCACCTCAATTGCCAGCTGACAGTTATATTAACCTGGGGAAAACAATGGTAGGTTACATGTGCATCTGAGAAAACACGAATAATTATGGTCTTTAGACAATGTGATGTTGATACCAAAACAGTGCTAAGAATGAATGGAAGAGTGTCAAAGTCCGAGGATGAAATGAATATCCTAAGGGTGAAATACAACTCCAAAATGTCTACAGTATAAAGAATTGTGTAAAATTTGCAAGTAAGGCAGCCAAGAAATTAACAGTACTAAGGTATATTTCATGTGATCAACAGCAGAGGAAGTAAAACTGCACGAGACACATACATGTTCTTACCCTGAGTATGAGCCACTCTGACTGACTTTCCCCCTTTCCCCTCCCTGTCTCATCTATGATTTCTGGACAGAATAGAGAACTCTGCTGACTGCATATATCATTACATCAAAGACATGTTATATAATAAGAAACAGAAATTACAAAGAAAGACTGAAGACTATCATATGCTGTTGTTGGTAACCATGAAAAGATGTTATACAAACGACCAATTATAAAAAGGATATAAATATATTAGAAAAGGAAATTTGTTCACCATCAACAAGAGCTAGGGAAAACATAACTGTACTGAATAAAAAAAAACCATAAAGAAGACATTTCTTTACAAAATAAGTACTAGACTAGTAAAGTGATGTAAGAGGTACGTAGTATGTGAAATCACCACTACCACCATTGGAAACTTATACTGAGGACACAATACTGGAAGTACAGCTCTGCTATTCTATAAATAAGTAATAACAATTGTAAACCAAGATAAAAATACTGAAAGGACAATGATATAATACAATTAATTTAAGCACTGAACCTGTAAGGATCTGAGAAGACAATAAAAATTACTTCTGCATAAATGGTGATTATGTATGAGTGATGGTGGAATTGTTGAATAATGAAGAGTTATTTCTTCTCTGGGGGGTGTTTTCTTTCTTTTTGGGTCACCCTGCCTCGGTGGGAAACAGATGATGTGTTTAAAACAAATATATATAATAATATATACATATTATATATATATATATATATATATATATATATATATATATATATATATATATATATATTTATTTATTTATTTATTTATTTATATTTATTTATTTATTTATATATTTGTATATATATTTATTATATTATATAATTTACCTCATGTAGTAGAAGTGAAACAAAAAAACAAAGTTACCATATGAGGATTTTGTTATAAATAATTGTTCTCATCAGCATTTTTCAGAATGGGTGTTGAAAGTAGTAGATTTGTGCATCATCTGGAGATGTTTAAGAGCACGCTGGCTGATGTTCAAGGCTGGGTCTACTGGTTTCAAGTTGTCTTGTCCCAGGAGGGAGAGCCCACTAATTCCTAGATAAGTATGTAAACCATCAGGGTGGGAGTCAGGATATTTGGCTAATCCTCCAGTGATGGGATCCTGCGTTGACAAAACAAACTGCCGAAGTGCTTCCAGATTCAAGAAACTGAGGCTGCCCAGTAACTATGAGAAAAAATTAAGACAAATTATTTATGATACAATATCCAAAATGAATACAACTGTTATAATTAATTGTTCATGTTAATATTACAGTCTGCTCAAGCCAGGAACTTCTCATTTCTTCACACATGAAATTTTACTGATATAATTTCTCAGGAAACATTGTGTTAGGTCTGGAAGCATTCTACTCTCTTCAACATTACACACCACCTTCTCTAAGACTCACTAGCTTCAACAATGATTAACCCTTTGACTGTCGAAGGGCCAAATCCTGAAGTTGCTTCTGGTGTCGCAAAATATTCGAAAAAAAAAAAATTATTTTTTCTTATGAAATGATAGAGATTCTTTTCCCGATTGTAAAGACACCAAAAAAACGAAATTTGATGGAAAACTGACGGAATTACGCTCTCGCGAAGTTAGCGACTTCGGCGATATTTAAAAATCGGCAATTTCGCCCACTTTGAGCCCTATTTTCGGCTAATTCCGTTATTCCAGTCAACCAAACTCATAACTATTTCTTCAGAACTCTATTTTTTCTATCGATTGAGTACAAGAAACTGCCCATTTACCGATTTCAACTACCCAATAACATGGTCAGAAATTTGCAATTTGGCCAATTTCACGAAAATTAAAAAATACGACAATTTCAAAATAAGGTCCAGAATGAACAATGCAGACATTCCTGGCTCTAAAATAACATTTTCTTTGTTCATCAGTCATGTCTCCAGGTCCCTGTGATATTACTCTTGCTTTTTATTTTGAAATTTTATTCAAACAAAAAATAGAAGATTTACTGTTATGCAGACTACTGCAATACTGTAATAATTGTAAAAATTACATCAACCCATTCATGACTGCGTATTAGAATGGCTAGTTGGACATTTATTGGACAATGACATCATTTGTTCACTTTTGAACATCGGCAAAAATCAAACATTTCCTGTACTTTGTGCTCCATTTTCAGGTTCTTTTTATAGTAAAATTAATCAAAATCACCTCCATTTCTATAATATAGTTTCCATTCTATCAAATGAGACCAAGAAAACGAGAATACAACCACAAATACTATACGAAAATAGACCACAAAGTCGGCATTTTAATTAAAAAAAACGGTCGGAGTTTTTTTTTTCTCATTATGCACTGCGTGCTCCAGGATTTTTTTTATGTGGTGCACACTGACCACACAGACCCATTCTCTCACATGTGGGCCTACTAGCTTTCTCCTGCCTGATTTGAAGCCGCTAGAATTTATGAGTATATATACGTCAAACACGGTACCTCGCAAACGTATATATACGGCCGCGACAGTCAAAGGGTTAATTCAATTCAGTTCAAGTTTATTCTCTATAATTATTCTTACTTTGTTCAAACTTTTTAACATCATTAGTTTAAAGATTTACCAGGATACGTAGTATGAGTGTATTACCTTGTTGCAAATAAAGTGCTTGGCTGAAAACTTAAGAATTTTATTGAAATACTTTACATTCAGAATCAGATGAGCTAATAAATATCCTATATATTTTTTACAATGAATGACTGACCTTCAGTGATGCCCCAATCCAGAATGTGTAGCAAGCATCAGGAGGTTTATTTGGTCGGCCTTGTAAACCATCACCAACCTGCCGATTCACTAACCACCGTACAAGTCTATGTTTCTGTGAAGCCAAGAAAATTAATTTATAGAATATATAATAAATACTCAACTAAAACTAGATAATTCAAGTACAGGTGGGCCATGCTTATACCACAGGTTAGGCTCTGGGCCACTGTTGGAAAGTGAAACATAGCATTTTTTAACTTTCAAATGCATAAAAAAGCCTGATAACATGTTTCCACTGTCATATATCAAGTGAGCAATATAGTTATGCTTAAAATATGCACATACGTACAGTACACACATTACTTACCTTAAGATATTTTCATCTTTAGCTTATAGTGAGTGGTGAATATATTTATTGTAGGATGTCTGAATAAATGAAGAATGGATATAATTGAAAACTGCTGTGTTACTGAAACATTGTAAAACAAAGCATTGTAAAGCAGGGCCTGCCTGTAATATGTTGTAGAAAGGTAATGTGAATGGTATTTTATTTTCTATTCTTCAAAAATAATTTCTGATGAATAGTTTGCATCAATGTATAAAATATTTTTATCATAATTTTTGCTAAAACTACAAAATTAAACTACCAATATTGGCAAACATGATTTCTAAGATAAGCAGTAAAGTACTATTGTATATTCAACTAGATGAATTTAGTCGTTGGACAATCCAGGAAAGGTATCTCAGTATTGCATAACCCTAGTCCCCTGTACCTCAATGTACCTGATTAGAACAGTGAAGAGTGCGGCATAAGTCCGTAATACAGTTAACCCTTTCAGGGTCGTGACCCCTGCTCTCAGGGTTACAAAATTTTCCATTTTTTTATTTTTTCTTATGAAAGATAAAGAATCTTTTTTCGAAGGTAACGAAACCAAAAGTATGAAAGTTAGCGGTCTTGGTGATATTTACATATTGGTGATTTTGCCCACTTTGTGCCTTATTTTTGGCTAATTCCATTGTTCCAGTTGACCAAACTCACAGCTATTTCACTAGTATTCCTTCTATTCTATCTATTTCAACCACCCAATAAACCAATCAGAAATTGGTAATTTGGCCAGTTTTACACAAAATTCAACAACTGCCAATTTGAAAATAGGGTCCATAATAAACAATGTAGACATACCTGGCACTAAATAAACATTTCTTATGTTCTTAGTCACATCTCTAGGACCCTCTTATATTACGCTTTCTTTCCATTTTGAATTTTTTTTTCACAAAAAATAGATTTACTGTTCTACAGACTACTGCATTATTGTAATACAGTGGACCCTCAGGTAACGACATTAATCCATTCCAGAGAGCTTGTCTTTAACCAATTTTTTCATCATCCGACTTAATTTTCCCCATAAGAAATACATATATAAAGTAATGGAAATCCAATTAATCTGTTCCAGACAGTCAAAAGTATTAAAAAAAAAATTTTTTTTACACGAAATAAACATTTCTCTACACAGAAAACAATGAGGCATGCAGAATAAACAATACTGAAACGACACTTACCTTTACTGAAGATGTACTGATGAGCGATGAGATGGGAGGGCAGAGGATGGAAGAGTTTACAATTGTTTGGAAGGGGAATCCCCTTCCATAAAGACTTCAGGTAACAAGTCCTTTTCTGGGGTTACCTTCCTTCTTTGTTTTTTAATGCCACTAGGACCAGCTTGAGAGTCGCTGGACCCCTGTCGCACCAAAAATCTCTCCAAAGAGCTCTGTTTCTGGTGGCTATTTAAGATTTCCCTAAAATGGGACACAATACTGTTACTGTAGATGTTGCCAGCACGGCTTGCAACAGCTGTGTCAGGGTGCTGTTCATCCATAAAGGTTTGCACATTAGAAAGCAGGAACACTGCAGCAGGCCTGTTGGCCCATACTAGGCAGGTCCTTCACAAACCATCCCACTAACAGAATCATATTTCCCCAACCCAATTTTCAATGCTTCCCAAGCAATAAGCTTTTATAATTCTATTCACTCATGCATAAGTCCCAATCAAATCGTGTGTGTGGGGAAGTACCCCGTCTGGCATGTGGGGAAGTACCCTGGCTGGTATGTGGGGAAGTTCTCTGGCTGGTGTGTGGGAAGTACCCTGGCTGGTATGTGGGGAAGTACCCTGGCTGGTATGTGGGGAAGTTCCCTGGCTGATGTGTGGGAAGTACCTTTGTTGGTGTACATAAGAAAGCAGGAGCACTGCAGCAGACCTGTTGGCCCATACTACCACCCTCTACCATCACTACCACCATCACTACCACCCTCTACCACTTTCATATCTTTCTTCAACTTTTTCTTGAATTCTATAGTGTTTCTCACCCTCTTTACCACAGGACTGACACTAGAAGTTTTCTTTGGGCCCATGGGCAGTTACAAGCACTAAAAACAAAATAATACAAAATATATCGCAAGTACACGTGGAATCGTCCTTGCTGGCTTGTAAACAATGGCACACTGGCTGCACATGGAGTGTCTGGGCCACTCATGTCATGCTGACACATTTGGGAGGAATGTCCTTAACCGAGTTCTTTTTCGGTAACCGAGCCAATATTTTGACAGAAAAACGTGACGCTATCTGATTTTTTCGTTATCCGATGACGTTGTAACCCGAGGGTCCACTGTAATTGTATAAATAATTTCAGTGCATTCCTAAATGCATATCAGACTGGCCAGTTGGACACATGTTGAACAAGTGTACTCAGTAATATCAGCAAAATTCAAACATTTCTGCTATTTTGAGCTCAATTTCAAGCTACTTTCAATCCTGAAACCAATCAAAATTATCTCTACTTCTGTAATATATCTTCCATTCTATCAAAATTTGGAACTCACTCAGTAAATACTAAATAACCAGGTCTGAACATCAATTCAAGTCTCTTTTCAAATACCATCTACTCACTCTAAACTAAATATTCAATACTCAATAGAGGTTTCCCTCAACATTAGTGTTTTCAACTTTCGCAGGATTCACACATTCGCGAATTCCCAACTGCCAAATACCCAACCCCCAAATTCCCAGCCGCCAAATCATATTTAAGTTTCCCGCCGCCCGCGAGTCCCTACTACCCTCCCTCCGACCCCCAAAACTGGCCAGCCAGCCCTCCCACCACTCAGTATGGTGAGTGTTATGTTTGTTCATTATTTGCTATTAAACTACAGTATAAATAATGTCAACCCATTCATGACTGAACATTGGAATGGCTATTCGGACATGTATTGGACAGTGACATATGTTTACTCTTAAACACGGCAAAGAATCAAACATTTCTGCTACTGCTAATAATAATAATAATAATATGACAGCATTGAAGGAAATTGTACAAAAATACAAGGGTTGAAGGAGTGGTGGAAGAAGTGGTTGAGGCATCGTCAGTCAGTGTGGCTTTGATTATGCTGGAGTGAGTGTTAGTCTCTACGCTCTTCCAAACATTTCACAAAAATTCATTGTGTTTGGTGCTTGTAGATTGAGTGTGACTGGAGTGGTAGAGGCAGCGGTTGAGGCAGTGGTTGAGGCAGCGGTATTTAATAAGATATATGTTATTAATAATAATAATAATACAATGTATTATTAATAACATGTATTATTATTATTATTAATAACATGTTATTAAAAACCACTGCCTCAACCACTGCCTCAACCACTGCCTCAACCGCTTCCTCAACCACTGCCTCAACCACTGCCTCTACCACTGCCTCTACCACTGCCTCTACCACTGCCTCAACCACTGCCTCAACCACTGCCTCAACCACTGCCTCAACCACTGCCTCAACCACTGCCTCTACCAATGCCTCTACCACTCCAGTTGCACTCAATGTACAAGCACCAAACACAATGAATTATTGTGAAATGTTTGGAAGAGAGCAGAGACTAATACTCACTCTAGCAAAAACAAAGCCACACTGACTGACGATGCCTCAACCACTTCTTCCACCACTGCTTCAACCCTCGTATTTTTGTAGTATGTATTTCCTTCTTCAATTCTATCGTATTAATAATAATAATAATAATACGATAGAATTGAAGAAGGAAATTGTACAAAAATACGAAGGTTGAAGCAGTGGTGGAAGAAGTGGTTGAGGCATTGTCAGTCAGTGTGGCTTTATGCTGGAGTGAGCATTAGTCTCCACACTCTTCCAAACATTTCACAAAAATTCATTGTGTTTGGTGCTTGTAGATTGAATGCGACTGTTACATAATTAACCATGGGCCCAAAGAAACTTGCTAGTGCCAGCCCTTTGGTAAAGAAATTGAGAAACACAATATAACTGAAGAAAGAAATTGTACCAAAATACGAGCAGTGCGCCGCAGTGGTTGAGGAAGTGGTTAAGGCACTGGTGGAGGCAGTGGTATTTAATAACATACATGTTATTAAACCATAACATGTATGTATTTAGTACAATATTTTATGGCATTTTCATGTATTTTATGATTGTTCATGGTTCTACAAGTTAAGGAAGCATTATTGTATTATATTTCCCTACAATATATTGGGGCACCAAACATTCACGATTTTTCAACATTCGAGAGGCTCTTGATCCCCTAACCCTCGCTAATGTTGAGGGAGACCTGTACTTAAATTAAGATCTCCCAATTATCTAAATCTTAACACTTCAAAATTTAAATACCCAAAGTTCATACATAACTTAATACATGTACTACATTGTAGTATAAATACCTGCACAAAAATATACTGCCTTACACCATATTGTAGTTGTAAACTTTCACCAACGCTAAATATTATTTTCCAATAATATAACTTAAATATTTACTATTGATATACACAACCTACAAAATGCCTTCAAATTGTTCCAATGTAATATCCCCAGATTTTAACTTGAGTTAAGTTATTGTCTGCTTTAAATAAAAACAGTTAAACAACTGAAACAAACTATGATAAATTTCTCTAGTTTAAATTATCTGTAAGCTATTAATTTAGTCTGCCCATAATGCTGTGGCATGATAGTGGCTCTCTTTGCCTACAACTCATTATTGTAACTAAAGAATCTCAACGTAAACTTGCAAAGAAAGAAAAAGTGTACTGTATTGTATTGTACAAATGAGACCAAGA